TATTCTGAATAGCATTTATTTTTAAAAGGGGTGATAAGTTAAAACATGATATTTTCTCAAAATATTGTAGAGTTCTAAGAAATCATTACAATTTTGAAGACTAGTTACTATATATAATATGTGACATTAACTTCTTGAAATCCTAAACAATATTGAAAACACAAATATTTTGAAATGTCATTTATTTTCTCCAAGAAGTTGGTAAATGAGTGAACTGAAAATCAAAAAAAAAAATCATAAAAATCTTTTTTTTTTAAATAATAAATTTTATTATTATATTCCCCCATACAATTGCAAACGCCCCATTCTGACCCCAATCCCTCCCCTCCCGCCCCCCACCCCCCAAAAAGTGTCTCTGGTTCATAGTTTTTTGTTGATTTTGATTTTCACTTTCTTATAGTTATTCATTTTCCTGGTTCCTTATTTAAGTTTTCTAGATTCCTGCTATGAGTGAGACCATCCGGTATTTTTCTTTTTCTTTTTGGCTTATTTCGCTGAGCATGATCCCTTCCAACACCATCCATGTTGCTGCAAATTACATGTGTTTATCTTTTTTGAATGCTGAGTAATATTCCATGGTGTATATGTACCACATCTTCTTGATCCAGTCATCTATTTTTGGGCATTTGGGCTGGTTCCAAAGCTTAGCTATTTTAAATAGTGCTGCTATAAACATAGGGGTGCAGGTGTTCTTTGGAATTGATGTTTCTGTGTCCTTTGGGTAAATACCTAGGAGTGGAATTGCTGGATCATATGGAAGCTCTATGTTTAGTAGGTCCAAGGGACAATACTGTTGGCTCAAACTTCCAGAAGGATTTTAATTATAATCAATCAGATAATGCAATTTAATACTTGAATAATTGACTGCTGCAGAGTGGAATCTGAGATTAATTCTGGCTTTGAAACCTACAAAAGTTACATAGAATGTACTAATTCTGCTTACAAATCTAAAACTGGAATAAAAGCATATAAGATATACATGTAAAACTCCTAACATTCAACCTGCCCTTTGTAAGCTCTCGTCAGTTATTTTAATTATTGTTCTGACAAACTGACATAGTTATTTCTGATTTATATCAATTAGATCATGTAACATATTTCCTTAGACAGGAGTCTATCGGTGTTGTGCATCTTCTTGGCTATATTTAGTTCAATTAAAAAAAAAAAAAAACTTTTGATACTTTATAAGTAAGTTAGAATTTAACAACTATTTCATCCCCATTTGTATGCATAATTAAATTGGTTTTATTAAGATTAAGAAAGTATATGAGGAATTCCATTTGACCTTCCTAATTAAATGAATTAATTTTAAGAATCTATGCTCAAAGACTGGGCTAAACAATAACTAATATTCAGAATTATATCTGTACGGATTGCTAGCTCCAAAATAAGCTGTCCCATGTCACGATTCTTATGGGATTTCAAATGAGACTTCATTGATTTAAGAAAACAATTATCCCTGTGTATATGCACTTGAGTAATTCTCCACATAATGGACTTGAATATATAAGATAACCTATAATATATTTCATTTTATGCTGATTTCCCACTCTGAATTATTCAATAAAGATACCAGCGTTCTCTATAATTTGATTTGATTGCATATCAATTGTTATATCACATACAGCATTTGTGATAAATGAGTTGAGCTTATAGAGAGACAGGAGAGTAGGAACACATACCTTCTCTTGGCCAAAGAGTGGAGTATCCTCTAGTGAGAGACCTGTTTCCTCTTGGAAACAAACAATATCTGTGGTTTACACAGACTCTCTGTGAAGGTGCAGAGTGAAACAACACTGGGAAAAAAGCAGATTTCTTTCAAGGTGTCACTTAAAACTTGAACAGGAAATCCTAGCTATTGTGAAGGCAGTTTCTCAACACACACCTCCAAAGCAGAGGAGACTGAACTGGTAGTGTGTCATTTAGTTTGTCCATTGACAAATGTCTCTAAGAAATTTTGTTCATATTCTAAAAGATATCAGGGGACAAAAGAATTAACCATACTTGGATGTTAAATTGCTTCCATCTCAACCACCAACACATGAAAACTTTAATTAATCATCTACTGGATGTTTCACGCCTAGAGAAGGTTTCTGAGTCTTGGCACTACATATTGTTTTCTTATACGCTTATATGTCAATTCTATTTTATGGAAACATTCTAAAACCATAATCCCCTAAGTCATATATATTAAACAATATGTCACTAATTTTCTGAAAAATTACATTTCAACTTTTTTACAATATTCCCTTGATCACCAGCTCCCAAGTTTTTCTTCTCTATTTTTCTGCAGTCAGCTTTCAGATTGTTTAGATTTTCACTGATAAAAATTCTCTTGATATGATAAAGCTTTCAAAACTATTGAATTATGTCACCATTCTATGACTGAAATATAAAATAACTCCTGGGCCTCCCCTGTGGCACTAGAGACAGAGTTGGCAGCAGAACAGGTAGATCTACTGAAATACACTGTTCAGGGGAGGAAGAGGCAAGACAGTAGAGGTGTGCTGCACCATGTGGGTTAGCTTCCTGGCCTGGGATCTAACTCATCAGTAGTGGCTGGGATTACTTGACAGCACTGAGACTAACCCCTGTAGCATGAGGGAGGTCCCCCATTACAGTTTTTAGTAGGTACGCTAAAAAATAAGCCAACATTAGGAATGCATTTTAATGTCTATATGAAATAGACAATTTGTAGAAAATGTAATCAACAAAAAGTTGCACAACCAATATTTCAACCTGAAGAAACTTCACAAGTGTTACAGCTGCTGAGTTTTTACATAAAACTATCCTAAAACAAGTTTACATGCTCAGATGATTTCAGTGAAATAACACATAAATACTAAAGTACTTCAGGTATGAGAAAAACAGAAATCCTTACTAATGTAGCTTTGATTCAAAAACTGACTAATGTATAACTATGAATCAAAACAGTCTAAACTTTTTGTGAATAAGAAGGAAAAATGTGCTGATCTAAATCAAATATATACATGGATAAAGAACACACAGAAGGATTGCTATAGTTTTATTGCAAAAATGCAAGATGTTTAATATTTGAAAGAAATGAAGATAATTTACTTCATAAATATTTTATAAAGAAAACATTTCTCATTCCAGTTGATGAAAAATGAATAAAAACATAATATCAAATCATAAAACCATTACAAAAATGTGAATGTGATGGGATGACATTAACTGGATAGTGATGATGAAAAAGTTACAATAAACTTCATATCAAAGAACAAATATTGAATTTTTCCCCTAAAATGGGAATACATAGAGATCAATAACAGTAACTACTATTTAATATTGAATATAAAAACTCTTGTCTGTAAAAAGCCAAGTAAAAAAAGTAATTGCACTTGGAAAGAAGAAACAATGTGTGATAATTCACAATAAATAACTATTTACATCAAAATTGATAATTCGTATATCCATATTCTAGAGTCATATATAAGATTGATAGAATTAATACATATTGCATATAAAACCAATGAGCCAACTCTAGTTGTGTTATATTTTACAACATCAAAAATTGCTAACAGATATTTCAGACATCTTTAAATAAAGTGTATTTACTAAAGCATAACATCATTTTCCCATGTCTACTGTGAAAACACAAAGCATAATGAGAAAAAAAAATCAAATTTAAGGCAGGATTAAGGTTGATGTAGACTGAAAAAATAAATATGGTAAAGATGACCAAACTCTAAATTACTTTAAAAATTAAATGTTCTCAAACTCATCACATGATTTTTTTAGAATCATCTTTATTGAGATGTAATTTATAAAGCATAAAATTGAGCCATGTGAAGTGAATAAGTCAAAGACATTTAGCATCTTCAGAGTTTGCAAACATCACCACTCTTAGCACTGAAACTGTTCCATCATTTCGAAAAGAAACAGAGAACAAATAAGTGGCCAGTTTCTCATCCCACCTCCTCTCAGTCCCTTTCAACCCCCAATCCACTTTCTGTATGAAAGTGAATTTGCAATTACTTATAACTGGACTCACACAACAAATGATCTTTTTTTTTTTTATATTTATTTTGTAAGAGCCTCCCTGGTGGTGCAGGCAATTGAGTGCAGCACTGTGAAGCTGTCCACAGCCTCTGCAGTGCCAGATCAATCCCTGCCAGCTGCGGAGATACCCACAGGCTGAGGTAGACCTCTCCTGTGACACCCGCTGCTCCCCTCAGCAGTGTATTTCAGTCAGTCTGACTGTTCTGTTCCCCACTCTGTCTCTGGTGAATCCTCTCACCCTTCTGCACTTCTGGCCTATACCCCAGTTCTTGTATAAATAAAAAAGAAATCTTAAAAAAAACATTTATTTATTTATGGATATAAGAACTAGGCTGTGAGCCAGATGAATGGAGGGTGAGATGATTCACCAGATATAGAGTGGGGAGCAGAACAGGCAGATCTAGTGAACTGCACTGCTGAGGGGAGCAGCCGGCTAGCTAGGAGAAATCTGCTGTGCCTTGTGAGTTGCTCACTGACTAGTGGGGATCTAACTCATGCTGCAGTGGCTGACCATATCTTGACAGCACTGCTATTAAAACCTCTGCCACCAGGGAGACCGCAAATGACCTTTTTGAAGGTTGAACACAAACAAAAAATTTCAGGCACTAAAGTAATGCTATCTGTAATTTTGGCTGAACATAGTGTATTTCAATAATTATTTTGAAAAAAATATCTAAAACAAGAAATAATCTCAATAAGACTAATTTCTTGAATTGACAAGTTACACAAATCCAAACTTGTTTTTTTTTTTTTTAATTTACATCTTCTGCTTGCAATAATACAACTTTGGAAATTCACAATTATCTGCATAATAGTTAGATTGCAGTGTAACACAGTGATAGTCAGCAGATACTGGTTTTCTCATCCTGGAATAAAGAAAAAGGCATAATTTTGTTGTTATATATTGTTGGGGCAAACCAAGAAACAGTAGCATATCTTTTAATTGCAATACAAGCATATTTTGAAAATAGATGAAGTCAATATTCATAGAATATTGTCAGAGCTGGGAGTAAGAAAAACTGAGCTGTCCTTTCTTCAAAATTTATCAAGATTCCACTAATATTCAACACCATTCTTCGCACCTATAATTTAAATCAAAAGCACTAATATCATTCTTTTATATTCCTTTTCATACCTTTCTTCTCTTAAGTTCTATAGTGATGGGGCAAACCAAGAAAAACAGCATTTTTTAATGCTACTATAACATTATTTAAATACAACTTACTCTAGTTGGGAAGTTGACCCATTTAAAAACGTCCATTCATGATTGCTACTGTTACGGTAGATTCCAATCCATGACAAAACTGATAGGGAGTTCAGAAATTTCTATTCAAACATAAAGATTTTGCACTTACATAAAAATGTGAAAGGCTTTGTTAAAAAAAAAACATAAATATGTGTTCTTTCAAAATATTCTACATTTTCAGAAGGAAGAGACAGATTCCAATCTCACACCACATACACACAATGTGCTGAGAACTATCGTGCATAACGCCACAAACGCTCACAAGCACATCATGATTACATAACAGGAACTCCTAAACATTTATACTCAGGAACTTCACTCTTCTTGTCATGTGAACAAGGAAAATTCTGACCTAGGTCTGTGTCCTGTCACCACCAACCTACAACAGGAGGAGGCTCAGGGCAGCAATTCTGCCCTGAGGTGAGGGGTCCTGTGCAGCAACAGCAGGGCAGCCTGACAAGGGAGATGCCTCAGAACAGTGACAACAGTCAGCAGCTGGGACACACTTCACCTCTCACCACCAGGGACACATGATCAGGACTGGTAGGGGGAGAAGGGACAACTAAAGGGACCCTACGACTGAGAATAGAGAACCCAGGAGTTTATCTCTGAGCAGGTGACATGCACACCCTGCCCCTGAAACAGTGAACAGAATGGGTTTTACATGTTATATCATAAATTATGCAGTGAAAATCAGCAAACAGCAGATAAATGCAATATGCAGATGAATTACTGAGAAATTATAGGGGAGTGATGTGACCGGAACAAAAGTATATGCCATATGATTGTATTTCAGTTCATAAACAAGAAAAGAGATATATGAAATTAAAAGTCAGGTCAATAGCTAAATAACCAGACAGCAGGAGTGAAGAGAGAGTAGACAGGGTGTCTGGGGTACACTGGGGCTGGGACTTCTATTTTTTTTTTAAGATTTATTTATTTATGCACAGAAGAGCTGGGGTATAGGCCACAGGTTCAGGGGGTGAGAGGATTCACCAGACACAGAGTGGAGAGCAGAACAGCCAGACTGACTGTAATACACTGCTGAGGGGAACAAAGGCTGAGACAGCAGAGGTCTGCTGCACCATGAAGGTTTCTCCCTGGACAGCTGGTGATCGAACTACTGCTTTAGAGGCTGTGGATTGCTTCATTGTGCAGTGCTTAATCCTTGTGCCACCAGGGAGACCCCTGGGACTTTTATTCAGGATCTGCTCTGCAGATACAATTTTATTCACTTAGTGATTAATCTGCCGGATCACAATATGCTCGCCTTTCTCGGTGTGTATTAAACAGCAATATTTATTTTCTATATATACATATATATATATATATATATATATATATATATATATATATACACACATAAAGAAAGTACGGTTCTCTATGTAAGCCAAGAACAGGGTTTTTCAAGTGTGCATTAATGGGGTCAAAGATATTAGTAAAATCCACAAAGTCAGACAAAAAAATGTTGTTACACAAACTTTAAAATAAACTACAAATTTGTACAAAAATATGTATGAATTCTATAAATATAAAACTGATTGTAATGTGTCTTCAAGAAAGTGGTTGGGACACTGACATTCTTACCATTTCTTCCTCAGTGTCTATGTAGAGCAGCTGAGAGTTCATACACTGACAGACCTTCGCGCTCTCCTTCCAGGTTTTTTGTTCAGCACTAAAGTAATAGCAGTTGTTGGAGTACGAAAACCACCCCTTAAAACAAGGGCCACAATCGTATTCTGCAGGGAAATTATGAATTATTGCCTAAAAGTACTTGCGTTAATAACATGGTTTATCATTACGTGCTGAGATATGAACATACATGTACCTAACACATGCACACACCTCACAGCTGGTCATGCAACATACAATCACAGAGAAAATGCAACCTCTAATGCTATAATTTATTTTCCATACGAAGCAAACTCACACAAATAATATCCACTGCGCAAGTCCTGACAAAGTGTAAATAATGTCATTTTTAATTTTTTTTAAAGATTTATTTATTTATACAAGAACCTGGGTATAGGCCAGATCTGCAGGAGGGTGAAAGGATTCACCAGAGACAGAGTGGAGAACAAAACAGGAAGACTGACGAAATACACTGCTGAGGAGTGTAGTGGGCGAGACAGGAGAGGTTGGCCATGCCATGTGGGATTCTCCCGGCAGGCCGGGATCGAACCTGCACTGCAGAGTGTGTGTGCATTAACGGACAGCTTCCCAGTGTGGAGCTCAACCACCTGTGCAAACCAAGAAGGCCCAATGTCATTTTTTTTAATAGTAAAATTGTACATACATATATAGCAGGGGGACATGAGCCAATTGGCCACATGGATGGATCTTCTAAGTGAATTTTCTTCCTGTTGTTGGATATGCTGAGCCCCTCCTATCATCGTTATTCATGAATATTTATTATTTGATTTTTTTTAAAGATTTATTTATTTATTTATTTATTTATTTATTTATTTATTTATACAAGCACTAGGTACAGTCAGAAGCGCAGGAGGGTGAGAGAATTCACCAGAGCCAGAGCAGGGAGCAGAACAGACAGACTGACGAAATACACTGCTGAGGGGAACAGCGGGCGGCAGGAGAGGTCTGCGCGCCATGTGGGACCCTCGCCCGGCAGCCAGGGATGGAACTGGCGCTACAGAGGCTGAGGGCAGCTTCGCAGCCCAGCGCTCAACCGCTGCACCACCAGGGAGGCCCTATTACTTGATTTTATAATGTAGGTTTTACCAGAAACTTTGTTACCATTTTTTTCCCAGCCTCACATATATACATAATATAAACTGTACTAACATCAGAATTTTGGAAATCATTGTGTACCTTTCTGGCTCTTTGTTACATTTGGGCAATCATTCTGCTCTGAGGAGAAATCATTCTGCTCTGGCTTTTTATTTGTAGCTAGAAAAATAAAAGAATCCTTGTAAAAATTAGGGTTCTCAGTAATTAATAATCAATTTAATGTTTCAAAATTAGAAATGTTGTATTTTGGTAGAGTTATAATTATAATGATACAGTTATAATGATAAAGTTGCGTTTCTGAAAAAAATAATAAAAGAACAAAGCTTTGGGAGAAAACAGCACAAAAATTTATAGTCAAATTTCACCATCTCTTACAATACACAGTTATCAAAATTCAAAAATCATTTTATAGTTTTCAATAGTCTTTCAGTCTCTTAACGCATGACTTTGAATAATGATATCTGAATCTTTATAAAATGGTCTCCTCAATCATTCTGTATATTTGTGTTTTTGAGAAGATGAGATTAACCAACATTTAATTAAACCAATACATTAATATAATAGTTCTATTCCTTAATATTATGAGATATTTAAAGGCACTGACAATCATTAAGTGAAAAGTTCCATTATATTATCTTTCATAAATGTACCTACGGGTATAAACCCACACTGGCACAATAATGCATATCAAGGCAAGGCAGGTGAGTCCCAAGATCCCAGCAATGCGCTTCTCTGGAGGTGCTGCTAAGCCTGCAGGGAGAGAAATGGAAATGCTGAGAAAGGACAGATGGAGGCAGTTGCTCAGTTTACACACAACAAAATCTACATGCACAGGGAGTCACATATGTACATTTGACTCAAGACCTCTATCTCCCACTGGAATCTTGCCCCCAGATTACACCATTGCCTTTTGAGTAAACAAAACACCCATGAATTTTTGTTTGTCAACAATTGTAAATTATAACAATACCTGGAAAAATATAGACATCAGGTTTCCTACTAGAATACCATATTCCAATACCAAATTCTCAGCCTCACAAATGAAAACCATGTCAGTTTATTCCCTATTCTTTGTGGACCTCCACCCCTCTGCATCTCCCAGAACAGTTGTGCTGTGTGTCTACTCAATGTTTTACCTTTGAGGTGACAGGACTTGCCATTCTCCTGAGGATCCCGAGCAGCATTGTGAAGACTTAATTCTGCATAGGTTACTCCCTGCTCCGTTCCAGTAGTGGAGATTTTACTCTCCTTAGGTTTCACTTGCGGCCTTTTTGAGACCTTTGCCAGCTTCAGCTCTGCATAGGTGACTCTTTGCTGGTTCATCTCTGCTGCTCTGTAAAGTCAGGAACTGTGCTCTGTGATAAATGCTTCTCAGTCTTTAATAAATTTGCATAGAAGCAGCTCACTGTGGGCGGAGCTTGAGCGGAGTGACAGACTCATATTGCAGTTGAACACCACACATGTCTGCTCTAAAGTCCTAGAGCACTAAGGTAGTATCACCAGAAGCGGATCCCGTCACTCCAACATACAATGATGTGAACAAATATTACCTCAGTGAGAAAATTTAAAAAATATGAACTCCTAGGAACCTTAAATATACGTTTCATGACAGAATAAGTAGTTTTTTAAAGCATGCTCCATGCTGAAACAATAGTATTTGGTTGGAAAAACGAAAAGCAAAAAAATTAATCAAAAATGAGAAGTTCAAGAACAAAGACCCCGGGAGACGCGCACACAGCCCGGGCTGCCGGTAAGCCTGCGCGGGAAAGCGGCGCGCTTGGCACGCTTGAAAAGAAAACGCGGACCGGGATCCCGGCTGCCCAGGTCCCCGCGCCTGCGACCTAGGCTTGCGGGGAGACGACCTAGGCTTGCGGGGAGACGCACGGAGGTCCTCACTGAGGTGAAGGTCCCTCCCTGAGTGAGCAGGAACCAGGCGCCCAGGCACGGGAGCTGTGCAAAAGGCGCCATTCCCGCGCCACTGAACTGGGCTACAGCCCGCGTCCTGGAACTGAGGGCTTTGAACTGAGACCCGGGGCACGAAAATTCGGGGCGTGGGTTCTCCACGACGGTGGGGCACAAGGCAGACACAGCACCCCAAAGCTGTTGAGGTGTACCCTACCATTCCCGCTCTGTTCTCTGTCCCACGGGGTGGGGGGAGGCGAAAAACAGCCCCCCAAGGACAATAGGAGAGATCTCTGGCGCCACCTAGCGACCAGGAAAAAAAAAGTCACTAACACCCTATAAAACAGGGCATTTCTTAAGACTGCTTGAAAAGGGCAGAAGGTTTCTGGAGGACCCAGTGGCCAGCCGGGAAGTTATTCCACGCCAGGCCCCTTCCGACCAGCAGTCTGAGCCCACAGAGGGAGCAGGCACCCACGTCCGAGGCAGACCGGGTGCGCAGAAGAGTGTGCCTGAAACCGGAGGCGCAGGGACTGCATCCCGCTTCGCCATTTGAGAACAGGGACATTTCTTCAGTAAAAACTGCCTAAAACCAGCAGAAAGCTCCCCCAGAAGACAGAGATGGCTCCTGGAAGAGCCAGAGGGGAGCGGAGAAGTTCACCCAAGATGTCAGTCAGTCCGAGCAACACAGTGTCCCAACGCATACGACAAATTAGAAAACAGACAGTAGGGAGTAGAAGAACCACACGCAACCTAAAAACTCCTAAGGAAAGAAGCACACCACAAAAAGAAAACCACTCCCCAGATTGCAACGACAGCGACTTGGAAGAACTTCTGAGCCTTCCAGAAAGAGAATTTAAAATTGCCATGATTAAAAAAGTGATAGATCAGAAGAAGGAAATTGAGTCCCTAAAGAGGGAAGTAAGAGAAATGCAGGAGATCAAAGAATTAATGGAGGAACTAAAGAACTCTGGGAAAAGAAATGAAAGCAGAATAGATGAAATGGAAGAACGAATAAGTAATCTTGAAGACACAGAAATAAAAAGAACCAAAACAGAAAAGGAAAGAGAAGTACGAAGGAAAAAGAATGAAGAAAGACTTCGGGAACTATCTGACTCCATGAGGAAAGGAAATATAAGAGTTATAGGAATTCCAGAAGGAGAGGAGAGAGATGTAGGAACAGAGAAAATATTCATGGATATAATTGAAGAGAACTTCCCAAATGAGAAGAAGGAGCTGAAAATTGATATACAAGAAGCAAGAAGAACACCAAACTTCCACGACGAAAGGAAAAACACAGCAAGACACATAATAGTAAAGCTCCCAAGAATCCAGGACAAGGAAAAAATAATGAAGCTGACAAGAGGGAAGAAACAGATAACATTCAAAGGAAAACCAATCAGGCTGACATCAGACTTCTCTGAAGAAACACTACGGGCAAGGAGAGAGTGGAGGGACATAGTCAACAGACTCCAAGAAAACAGATGCCAACCAAGAATACTCTATCCCGCAAAGCTCTCTTTCCTCCATGAAGAAAGAATATGGACCTTCCCAGACAAAGAGAAACTCCGGAATTTCATTGCGACTAAACCCCCACTCCAAAAAATACTACAAGGAATCCTAAAGCCAGAACCTCAGAGGGACGAATAACAACGAAAGAAGACCAAAAAAAAAAAAAAATATTAAAAGAATAAATAAATGAAATCAAAGGAAAGACAAACATAATGGCAAATACAGATGCTAACATATCAATATTAACTCTAAATGTAAATGGACTAAACTCTTCAATAAAAAGACACAGAGTTGCAGCCTGGATTAAGAAACAAAACCCAACCTTTTGCTGTCTCCAGGAAACACATTTAGCTACAAAAGATAAAAATAGGCTCAAAGTCAAAGGATGGAAAACAATCCTACAAGCAAATGGGCCAAAAAAGAAAGCAGGAACAGCTATACTTATATCAGATAAAACAGACTTCAAACTCAAAAAAAAAAAAGAGACCCCAATGGTCACTACATTATGATTAAGGGGACAATACTTCAAGAAGAAATAACACTCATTAACATATACTCACCAAACGAAAGAGCACCAAAATATATCAGACAACTGTTGTCCTCTCTGAAAACAGACATCAGAGAAAACACATATGTAGTGGGAGACTTCAACACACCACTATCAACAATGGATAGATCAACAAGACAAAAAATAAGTAAAGAAACTAAAGCTCTAAATAAGGACCTAGAGCATTTGGGCTTAACAGACATCTATAGAACACTAAACCCAAAAAAAACGGAGTACACATTTTTCTCAAGCGCACACGGATCATTCTCCAGGATCGATCACATACTGGGGCACAAGACAAACATCAACAGATACACCAAGATTGAAATCATACCAACCATCTTTTCTGACCACGAAGGCATCAAACTAGAAATAAATCATAAAAAGAAGGCAAGGAACTATCCTACCTCATGGAGATTAAAAGCCACACTACTGGAAGACCACTGGACTAACGAGGAGATCAAAGAAGAAATTAAAAAATTCTTTGAATTGAATGACAAGGAGGACACCAATATCCTAAATGTATGGGATGCAGCAAAAGCAGTAATAAGAGGAAAATATATAGCAATAGAAGCTCACATCAAGAAACAAGAAAGAACTCAAAGAAACAACCTAATCTCGAAGCTCAAAGATCTAGAAAAAGAACAACAAAAAAACCCCAGAACCAGTAGAAGAAAAGAAATAATAAAAACCAAAGCAGAAATAAATGAAATTGAAACTAAAAAAACAATCCAAAAGATCAATGAAACCAAGAGCTGGTTCTTTGAAAAAATAAATAAAATAGACAAACCCCTAGCCAGGCTCTCAAAGGAAAAAAGGGAGAAAGCACAAATACACAGAATCATAAATGAAAGAGGAGAAATCACAACGGACACAGCAGAAATCAAAAGAATAATCAGTAACTACTATGAACAGTTATATGGAAACAAGTTCAACAATCTAGAGGAGATGGACAAATTCCTACAACTCTACAATCACCCAACGCTAGATAAAGAAGAAATAGAACACCTAAACAGGCCAATTACAAGCAGCAAAATTGAAATGGTAATTAAAAACCTCCCCAAAAACAAAAGCCCAGGACCTGATGGATTTACAAATGAATTCTACCAAACATTCAGAGACGAATTAGTGCCTATCCTTCACAAACTCTTCCAAAAAATTGAGAAGGAAGGGACAATACCAAACACGTTCTATGAAGCCAATATTACACTAATACCAAAACCGAATAAGGACAACACAAAAAAGGAAAACTATAGGCCAATCTCCCTAATGAACACTGATGCAAAAATCCTCAATAAAATTTTAGCTATCAGAATCCAACAATGTATCCATAAGATAATTCACCACGACCAAGTTGGATTCATTCCAGGGGCACAAGGATGGTTTAACATCCGAAAATCAATCAACGTTATCCAACACATCAACAAAAAGAAATATAAAAACCATATGATAATATCAATAGATGCTGAGAAAGCTTTCGACAAAGTGCAACACCCATTCATGATAAAAGCCCTTGAAATTCTTGGGATACAAGGAACATACCTCAACATCATAAAGGCCATCTATGACAAGCCAACAGCCAGTATCATTCTCAATGGTGAAAAGCTGAAAGCAATTCCATTAAGATCTGGAACAAGACAAGGATGTCCACTCTCACCACTGCTTTTCAATATAATACTGGAAGTCCTAGCCAGAGCAATAAGACAAGAGAAAGACATCCAAGGAATCCAAATAGGAAAAGAAGAAGTCAAACTATCACTATTTGCAGATGATATGATAATATACATAGAGAACCCCAAAATCTCCACAGAAAAACTAATTCAACTCATCAATCAATTCAGTAAAGTGGCAGGATACAAAATCAACACGCAAAAGTCAGTAGCCTTCCTATACACAAACAATAAATCTGAAGAAGAAGAAATCAAAAAAACCACCCCTTTTATTATCGAAACAAAAAAAATCAAATATTTGGGAATAAATCTAACAAAAGAGGTAAAGGACCTATACAAAGAAAACTATAAAACACTGTTAAAAGAAATAGAAGAAGACACAAAGAAATGGAAAGACATCCCCTGCTCATGGATTGGAAGAATAAACATTATTAAAATGGCCATCCTACCAAAAGCAATATACAGATTCAATGCTATTCCAATCAAATCTCAATGGCATTCTTCAAAGAAATAGAACAATTATTGATGAAATTCATATGGAATCACCAAAAACCCCGAATAGCCAAAGCTCTACTGAAAAAAAAAGAAGGAAATGGAGGCATCACACTCCCAGACTTCAAACTATACTACAAAGCCATAATCATCAAAACTGCATGGTATTGGAACAAGAACAGACATACAGACCAATGGAATCGAATAGA